AGAGAGAGAGAGAGAGAGAGAGAGAGAGTAAGAGAGAATCGTATTATTGCAACTCGCCAAACCGAACCCCGGCGCTATGCAGCTGCTGCTATAGCAAGGGTGTAACAGACCCCAGGCTTGGTTCTAGCTCGAACCAATAAGGTCATTTTTCTCCTGTATAATCCAGCCAACCGGCAAACCGGGTATCCCGTTTGCGCCGAGTTAACGCAGAGTTAATAGCTACCCCATAATGTATCGAACCCCCGGAATATTAAGGGATTACCGTGTGGTCACCACCGTTAAGTCAGCGAGGCAAGAGATACACTTCGGCCTACTTTCCAGATTTATGTTACCGATCTCTGTAAGTTCGACCGAGCACTCGTCGTCGCTTAATAACACGACGCAAAGAAACGTATGCCGGGAAACCGGGAAATCGAGATTCGGCGAAGAGTTAATTCGACGTTCGAGACCGACAAATCGTGTAATATTCTATTTCTAAATGGTGGACATGATCGTGCAATTCAGACAAGGCGATTCGGAATCGTTTTAAATTATACCGTAGGTAGCCGGATATTAGATTTGACGCCGCGGCGCGGCGTGGCGCGAAACGTTGCTGTTAGAACTTAAGAGGGAAAGAGGCGGGTGAAATAAGACCGGTTAAGCCAGAGGAAGATAGCGGTCTGCCGAGTCTTGCGGTCTGGTAATGTTGTTTTAAGCGCAGCACTTACCACGGCGACAAATAATCATTAGGCAGAGTTCAGCGGCTTGCTGGCACCACAACCGAGGTGGCTGGTCGCGGCCAGTAATACCTTTTCTACCCCTTGCCTCGCTAGCCGAGGGTCTACCACTCACGCGGGTATGGCCCTACTCACGTCCCTAAGCCAGATTATCCCCTGAGGGATTGCCAGAATATATTTTCATATATATATGTATGTATTTGGAGCCTCCTCCCCCCCCCCCATCCGCCGCCGGGTCCTCAAATATATCGGTCAGGTAGACTTTCGAGTTGCATCGAATTCGAGCGGCAACGAATCGTCGATGCTTAACCCGAATTAACTGTATTATCAGAACCTAAACCTCGAACCCGATCGACGGGGATGTTCGGCTTGAATCGATTACAATACACGTGCAAAGAAATGTAACATTAATATTTCTACCATGTAGGCGGACGTATCGTCGGATCGAGACAAATGATGCAACCGAATGGTTCTGCCATTTTTGGTGAATCGCAAAGGTAGTGGATTGTACGTAGTAGTGCACGTCGGAATGTTTCGTGCTAACACGACGTACATGTGTATGTATATGCAGTTAAGCTAAGAATGATAGCAACTCGTGCGAGACTGCGGTTACGCGAGAATCGACGTACGAGAGAGCTAAAGTTTTATAAACTGGAATGAACGCGCGCGAAGTCGAATGTAAACTGTAGTATGGTGGATGGTAGTGGAGTCGCGGGGTCAAGGGTTGGAGGTTTATCTTGCCTCGGTTGCGAAGTGATATGCCTGCCATTGAAGTTGAGCTGGAATGCGGGTAGATAGAGGGAGCAAAGGGTGATTCGTAGGGTGTTACAAGTCAGGATTCAGAGCAGATTACGTCATTCTCACCCCCGGCCCCTGAAGTACCGAATAAGTACATACTGCTCTGTAGATACCGGTGGCGTCATTCGTATCACCTAGTACGGTGGCAACGCATAAACCCAACGTCGAACGAAAAATCTAGAGACGAACGGGACGAAC